AGCTCTTCTGCTTCCTGCGGCTCCGACAGGACCAGCCTGTCAGGGAACATGTCCTGTGATGCACAGCATCAGCAGCCATTAGAGGTGAGTGTCCTCGCTTTCCTCCTTGTGAGTGCTGAGCCGGGTTCTCCTGTGAGCCGTGATGGCTGCCCAGAGTCGACACAGAGCGGCGCCTCTGAAACACGCACGTCCAAATGCAACATTACAAACAAAACTTCCTAAACTGCAGTTGTTTTAAAAGGGATGTACTGATTGCTCAGCTAAAGATGGAATCAGATGATTTTTTTATTTGTTTTATTTTAACATTGAATAAGCCCCCACAACCCCTCAGTCTTTGAATGAATCTATAGCTAAACATAATAAAATTCTGGTTCACGGATGAATCATAGCAGCAAAAGGGCTAATTAGATCTGATATTGTAATAAAAAACAATAATATTGTGAGTAATGAAATAAGGTTTTAATAAAATAAACATGCACTGCAAGAAATGTCCATCTAACAAAGTTTTAAAATCTTATATATCCAGCCAAATAAAATCTTTTTCATCTTGTTTTGCGACTGATTTACTAAAGAACAGAACATGCTAGATTAYCTTGTTAGCCTGGAAATTTGACTCAAATTAACTGAAAAAGTCTGCCAAAGGAGTAAGACAAAATTCTTGAGTCAAATTAAGTGATTTCAATGATCTTACCAAGTAAAATTATTTATTTTATACTAAAATAGATTATCTGCATTTATCAGTTGGGTTTTATTTATCCAAATACTGTATCTCTGTCCAAAATCCTGCAGGATATTATTAGTAGAATTCCAAAGATGGATTAAAAAAATTAAAATACAAAACTTTATTTTTACTGTTAATATCTACATATTTTAATCAAGAATAAAAAAGGTTTATAAATAAAATATGCTGCTAATTATAATTGTTTGTGGGAATTTTTAAGTCAGACCTTCATAAAATTCCAAGTCTAAATCAGCCCAGAAAACTGCAGCTGCCACATCTTTATTCACTTGAGACATTGTGAACGTTTGCTGCACACAAAGCAATGTGCTCCTGTTTCTGCATGGGCAACCCTGTGTGAGGATGATGAGTGGAGGCAGCTCACCTTAACCCACAGTACACCAAGTCGTCCCTGGAGGCCACGTTGAGGAGACAGTCCAAGGTGAACTCATCAGAGAGCAGCTAACAAACAGGATGACACAGATGTAACTAACAAATGAGTAATACCAACCCACTTCAGGCATAAAAAGATAAAAAYAAAACAACTAACCTTATCAATATTGTCCTGATCCAGAGGGACACTCTTGAGCCAGTGAATCAAACTCCTTATTTCTACGGTGGAGGTTTTCTTTAAGGCCAGCTCAGCCTCTGCAATGTGGAAATATTACCATTAATAAGCTCCGTCTGACCTTAACACTAACTTATGGAGCATTAGGTGGTGTTAATGTTCTTGTTACAAAACACATTAAAGTACATAATCATTACTCAGACGATCATTCATGTCTGGGTAGTGTGGCTGCTGATCTGCAGCCCAACAGACCAAACCTCAGACAAAAACCAGTTCTGGCAGAAATAAGCCTTAAACTGAGGCGTGGTGAGGATCGACTGCAGCCACAGTGAAGACACAGTAATTATATTAACCGAAGCTTTGTCCTTTGATGTGATACTGTTCAGACTGCAGCTTGAAGTCAGATTATAGAAAGAGCTTCATCTTTAGTGGTACGGAACAGTACGATCATATCAGTGAATACAGATCTGATCATGACAAGCATGAAGTGCTAAAATGAATCAAAGTAAGTGTTTAAACTGATGTGTAAATGACATTGTTTAAATGCTTTTATTTCTCTACCAAATTGGTTGTTTTGTGTTGTTAAAACCAGTTTCTAAACCCTACAGTAGATGACCAAATGATTCTCACAAAACAATAAAAAAAACAGATGTAAAACTTGGACTGTAATTTTTCTTGTCATTCTCGTAGAACTTGGATGGTTTTRAGGCTATACTCCTCGCATCTGTGTCTTTAGTGCAGATGTTGAAGCGTTTCATGACACAGATTTAATACCAGTTTTGTTTGTTAGTTTGTGATGAAAACAGCTTTACCCTCCCTGGCAGCTGTTCTCCTCAGTGCATCGATCTGTTCCTGCTTCCTCTGGACAGATTTCCTCAGCAGCTCCTGGTACTCTYGCTCCTTCTCACTCAGCTGGTCCAACAGTCTGAAACACAAACAGACACCAGCTCTCAGCATCTATCTACTGACGCACAGAGTTGTTCATTATTAATTGTAGATAGAAGATGAAGAAAATGTAATCATCATAGACAGCATGTTGATCACAGAATCATGAAAGCAGCTGAATACCGCGTAGTTTCTTTCCGCATGTCTCTCAGTTTCTCGCTGATGGGAGAGGTGCCGATGATGAAGACATCAGCAGAGGAGGTTAAACTGGCTGTAGACCTGTTCCCGTACACAAGTCCTGCCGGCTGCGTGTCTGCTGGCGCCACCAGCTGGTCATGAACAAAAGCTTTGGGAGAATCCGGGTCGGCGGGCTGCTTGTCCGAGTTGACGTCTTCAGCTTCAAATGACGACTGCAGATGAATTTTCAGCTCTAACAGGCAGGAAGAGGGTAACACAGGTCAGCAACAAAGGTAACAATCAGATAAAATGAGAATAATTAATGTTGGATTTTTATGTGAACCTCAGTAGGTTCAGGTCTGAAGGGGTTAATTGTTTTTTTGATACATTTGGATTATTTAATCCAAATACATCTCAAACCATTTTGTAAACATTGGTAATGTCTGTGCTACTTTGCAGCTGAATAATCAGAGATTTGCTTTAAACAAGAATGAACAGGTGCAACTAATTTATTGGTCAGTGAGAGCATATAACAGCTTTACCTGGAAGTAGGACAGTTATGGCGTCCTGAACTGCCTGTCTCAGCAGATTGTCCAGAGCAAACATCCAGTGAGGCTTCACCTGTTGCTGCTTCAACACCTTCTTCACCTACACATAGTAAAAAGGTTGTTTAAGGTCGATACACACACAGCAGCTTCATTACAGGAAAACTCTTGGCTCATTAGAGACTTACTGCATCCTGGAAGTTAAAGAGCACCGCCTGCAGGCTGTTCAGAGGTATTGCCGCAGCTAAAAGAGTAGAGCGGAGATTGAGCAGACCACTGGTCAGTCGCTTTCTGTCTGGAGAGCGGATGTTGTCTCGCAAACAGGTGATAAGAGTGACGATGTGGTCTGCATTCAGTGATGAGCCCTCATCGTTCTTACAAAGGAGAGAGGARGAAAAAAACTGGAACATGAGGATGTAGTTTCATTGGGCCTCATGCAAGAACCGTTTGTACGCACAGATTTGTTCTTAAATTGTGCGTACGAGTGATTTAGGAGAATTTGTGGCATTCACCAATGTTTTCGTATTCTAAGATTTTTTTCAGATACGAACAAAAYTYACGAGTGGTCCAGACCTGTCGTATATTTTACGAGCAGTCAGTCTGCTGTTATCCAGATGGGTTTTCTTCACTAATAACTTTATATTTCATTAGTTTGAAGATAATTTGAGTTGAAAATAAATCACACTCCATAATTACGTTGACAATAGGCTATTCTGCTTGAATTAGAGTTATAATTTTAAATGTAATAATTTAGACTAACAATATTAATTGTCCGTCCGGCTGGCTTATCCAGGATCAGGTCGCGGGGGCAGCAGCAGAGACCCAGACTTCCCTCTCCCCAGCGACACTTTCCAGCTCGTCCTGGGGGACTCAGAGACGTTCCCAAGCCAGGGGGGATACATAATCTCTCCAATGAGTCCTGGGTTTTGTCCAAAGTGCCAGACATATTTTGAAAACATTTTAAAATGCTTATTTCAGAACCGCAACTGAGATCACCTGTGACGGTGTGCAGCGCTGTGTCTTCTGAATAAATGAAAATGATTTAACACAGTTGTTTATACTTTTAGCAGCTCTTTTTATTCCACAGCTGASCTGCTAAAAATGACAGATTTTCTTTTCTGGATCTCTGACAGACGGACTTCAATCTCTGAACTTGTAAAGTTCTTCTTTTTAGTTTTCGCTGTCATTTTCATGAATGGACACTTCCTTGTATCTGAGGCAGGAAACACAGCCTTATATGGTGTTTTTGGGGTGGTAATTATGCTAATCTCCTCTCGCGTGCACGAGCAGCTGGATACGAACAGGTGGAATTTACGCAGCTCATTTACACACTTTTCCTGAAGATAGAAGAGTTTGTTGAATCTGACGTGGCATGTTCGTACGAACCCTTTGTACGAACAAAAGTAAGAGAAATTTAGGATAAGAATACGAACATGTTCTTGCATGAGGCCYATTCTTCTTGTATTTAAAAACTCATCTTCATTCATAGTACCGATCTTAATCTGAATGTGTTCAAATTATAGATCATTTTTTATAATATCCTCATCAACATCTGTTTAAAATGTCATGTTTTCAGACATGCTGTTGTTTTCTTTCCCCCCTCCACCCACCTGAGACAAAGACTCCTGTATATTAGAGATGACATGAGTGATGTACTCTGTGAGAATTCTGTGGAGCGTCGCTCGCCTCTCGCTATCCTTTCGCAGCATGAAAAGACCAATATTCTCCTCCGTCGAGGCTGGACTGGACATGTCTGAAGAAGAGTCGTCAGGTCTTCTGAACAGGAGGAGGCAATGAAAAGAGAACTCAGACAGAAATAAAAAGAGCTGTAAATGTGTTGTTTCTATTCTAAACAGAAAGATTGTTTATTATGAATTTAGAACTTAAACCTCAGTGTGGTTTGACACAGAAACAGACGGTCTTTACAGTAATAACGTCACTCACAGCAGGTAGCTGTTAGCGGTGGGTGGGCTTTGCGAGATTTCATCCGCCCTGATGACTGACTGGTGCCTCCTGAGGTCCAGAGAACAAGCCAAATCAGCTGAATCAGAGTACGAGTCCGTGTCCTCCACGAGGATGGAGATGGGCACAGACAGGCTGCGGTGATAATCAGCTGCGAAACCCCAGAGAGACACATTTCCTAGTTTTCAGAATGCACGTTTACCACACAACTAAAGCAAAAAAAATTACAAATAAAAACTATTTGATGRTAATGCAAAATTAATCCAAAACATGTAGTCCATATATTCTCAAACTGGGGTCCTRGAACTCTCAGTGGTCCATGAGCTATAGCTTGGGGGTCCCCAGAATAAATTACAATAAATTATTAATTATTTAATTTCATTTTAAAATGTGCATATATACACATAGGCCAGTAAAACAAACATACTTAACCAAAATAAATTACATTTAGGGGTTAAAATGACAGTAAATAACTTAATCAGCATGTACATTTACAGGGAGTGCCTGGAAATGTCTCTCCCCTGTAAGGGGTTCCCAGACGCAAAACGTTTGAGAAGCCCTGATGTAGTCAAATCAGCTGTTTTACCGTTAACAAAAAAGACAGAAAGCAATAAAAAATGTCTAAGGTTTTAAGAGGTTTAAGGAATTTGAGAAAAAATAACGACTGAGTGTGTGAACCAAATCCTTACAACCGTGAGCTGAATCGTCCAGTTCTGACTCCTGCTGGGCTTTGGTCTTCTTCCTGGGGGACGACCTGAGGAAGGGGTCCATGAGCAGCTCTGCAGCCGTGGCTCTGYGGTCTGGATTTGGCTCGAAACACCGCATGATGAAAGCCTTGGCCTGGTCGGACATACACTCTGGGACATTTGGGTGGATCTTAAACATGCCGACCTGGAATTTTTATAAGAATGTGGTAGAATTACTCAAATAATGTACGGAAAACCCTTCTGGTTCTTTGTGGTGCACTAATGTTCTGTATATGGTACTCGTATAACAAATACTGTATGTGTTTAAACCAGTGGGTCTCAAACTGCAGGGTGGGACCTCCATGTGAATCCACTCCTTAGGATCTGTTTTTGTATAGTCAGAGATGGATGAAGCAGCATATTTTTATGCTTTAGCAAAGTGCAGTTCTTAAATTTTAATTGTTTCTTTTAACAGAAATTAGAAAAACTCCAATGAGCAACCTAGAGACAAAATGTCACTGAAACACTAATAAAATAAAAGCATAAAAACAGAAAATGTTGGAGAACCAATGTCCAAATTATCATTATGATGATGACAATTACCTCAGATTTTTTGCTTTAATAATATACTTAGCACTTGAGAAAATTAAAGTTTTGTTAATTTGGACCAAATGATAATTTTTGTTTAGGAGTAAATTATTAAAAAGGCACAAAAGTCTGCAATTTCACGTGGAACAAGATGGACACGGCAGCAAAAAAATAAAAAATGCAGCAAAATATGTTTTGGATTCCGTTTTGTAACTAAATCTGTCTGGCAACTCTGCTGAAGACTCACTGGAGGAAAAGTCAAACTGAACTCGTGTGGGAGGCAAGTTGTTGCAGGATGCACTGAATGTAAACACGGCTGTAGAAGCTGCCAACTTTCCGTGTACTTAAATTTACTCGCATGGTAACATGTCAACATAAACACAACTCTGCTTTATTTACCTTAAACATGGCTGCCTGAGGACTTCCCAGCTCGTGAAAGGGTGTTTTGCCTGTTGCCATTTCTATAATGGTGCACCCCAGGGACCAGATGTCTGCAGGCTTCCCATAACCTCGAGGTCCTTGGTCTATAATCTCTGGAGCCATGTACTGAAGAGTCCCTTTAAAAAACAAAGCAGCGCAGGGGTCAGGAAATGCCACAACTCTCACCAGTTCCCATCTAACATYCAAGTCTCACCAGTAAAGGTCTCAGTGCACGGGTTAATCCCTGCTAACCGCTTCGATGTKCCAAAGTCTGAGATCTTCAACACGCCGCTGTAGGTGTTAATCAGAACATTGTCCCCCTGAAGCACACACAAAACGATCACTCCTAACTTGTGCTGAAGAATTAAGATGAATTGTCTCTAAAATCAAACTCAGCTCACCTTAATGTCTCTGTGGACGATCTGATTATCGTGCAGGTATTTCAGCCCCTCGAGGATTTGCTTGGTGTAGAAGATGATGGTGGGTTCGTTGTCCTTTAGAGGACCCCATTTAGCATGAAGAAGAGACGACAAACTGCCTATATTAAGAGTGCAACACATTACAAGATGGAAAATATTATTTTATATAAACTGAGACTGCAAAAAAGCTCAAAATATACAGATTTTAAATAAATACATACAAGAAAATATAATTGTTTTTATATCTTTGTCAAACTGTCACATTAAAACAAAGAAACACACCGAACTYGTTTCCTATCACGTGTTCTTTTTGACAGAGAATTGCATCATTGTCTGACAATGTTTTCCTCAGTAGGCAGGATATTTTTGGAAACAKCCAACTCTGGTTTCCTGTTCATGTTGCATAATCACATTTTCATTTGTTTATCTGCACATTTTATATCCAAAATGCTTAATAAATGCATCATCCTGTAAATAAAGTCATCCTGTATGGGAAAGTCAGACTTAAAAGCAGTTATTGCTCTTGTGTGTTCTGTAATTTGATAGAAACCAAGCTGAGGGTACTTTTAAAGTTTCCAGTCCTTGAAAGAACAAAGTTTCACACAATGACACAATCTTACTGTTAGACAAGCATTTAAAATTGTTAAAGTTTGAACCTCCTGGGACTTCTTCCATGAATATCTTGATGAAACCATCCTGACTGACGGAGCCGAGATACTGAACAATATTCCTGTGTTTGAGCCGTTTGTGCAGAGCTATTTCCTCATGGAGGGGCTGGGAGTATCTGAGGTAGACAAAGAGGTAAAAAAAAAAACGTGTGATTGGTTTAATTTCACCAACAAAACAGCTGACATGATAGATTTTATGATCACATGATATAGAACTGATATTAGTTTGCATCAGAACACATTCATCTACAAGGATAGCAAATCTGCTGTTTCAACATTTTAAAATCCTTTAAYGATGCATTACCATCCTTACAGTTTGTCAAATACACAAAGATTGCTCAGTCGCATTAATGCAATGTGGTTTTAAATGTATTCACTCCCCTTGGTATTATTTTAATTTTTTTCCAACCACTAACTTCAAAAGCCACATTTCATCTACAATGAATATTCATGCCAAGGGTATTGTGGAAATAAGAGGAATGAGTGATGTCTTACGTGCTGTCCTTCTCAGGGATCTCCTTGATGGCGATGCGAACCTGGTTGCTCAGGTCCCTCCCAGCATACACCACTCCGTATGTCCCCTTCCCGAGAACCACCTTATTACCATTCTCATTGGTCTCRTAAATGTACTGAAGGAGGAGAACAAAAGCAGCATGAATGAGTGAGGGGGGAAAATAAAGCAGAACTGTGAGGAATTTTATAGGCAGGCAAGGAAAGCGWCACGGTGCAGAGATTTCTGGCAAAAAAACTTGGAATTTCACATTTTTATCACAACATTTAAAGGGAAAATGTTTGGAAAAGGCTACACTATGTTATGAATAAGGTTCATTTATAAATGCAGTTGGGTTTCTTCAGAGGCGCCTGCAGGATTTTATTGGAGGGTACGCACAAACCCATCTACTTGACCCACACAAAAACAGGCCACATGGGCGCAACACAGGAACATCAACTTGGCACCGCGCCAGATCCTGACCGACAGCCACAGGAGCGCTATGCGCATCTGTCCCATAGGACATTTGTCCCGCCTTTGACTCGTCACAGTACGAAATGTCAAAGAAAGAAAATTTAAAAATCCACAAATGTTTGCTATTTAGTGGCTGCAGTTTGCAACATCACCACCTTATTTCTGTCTGCGTCCTTTGCAGGAAGAAGAGAGAGAGAGAGGAAGACAGAGATGCAGCATCAGATCAGTCATAACGCGCTGCAGTCACTGCATAAAAACAATTAAATTAAATAAAAATAGGGCAAGAATTTATGCAGACTGTAGTGGAAACTATGTAAAAACGCAGCAAAACAGACACTGATTAAAGGATGAGGTCAGTGAAAGGTGATATTCAGAGGTTTTTTTTTTTTTTTTTTGAAGGGGAACAAGATGTGGAGCGACAAGAAACCCTCAGCTCAGAACACATTTTGCTCAAACTGAAAAAAGGTAACGGTCTGACTGAAACCAGGTGGTTAAAGTTACCTGTGGCTGAGAGCTGCTGGGCTCCTGTGGGAGAGGTGTAACTGAGGAGGTGAAGGCAGAGAGAAGCTAGCTTTGTCCGCGGGAGGAGAGATTTCCTGGCTCAGGTGCTGTCAGTTACATCCAGAGGGCAAAGCGACGGCACTTTATTTCTCTACTCTTTCGTAAACATTTCCACAAGGTTTAACCGTTTAAAAGTCTACTAACCCATGTTTAGTTAGCTTCACCGCACAGTCAAAGCACCAGGGCAGCCACCAAATAAACAAAACAAACTAACCAATTACTTTAGTTTCGGACGCATGCGCCCACCCCAAGAGATGCACACAGATGAATGTACAGGAACTTCTGACAAAAGACAATTTCTTATTTTATTTTGTCCACCATTTTTGTAATCCTAAAGAGTGAAAAATCATAAAAAAGTGTAATGCTTATAAAACCATTTTTTAACTCAAAGGAAAATCTCAAAGTACGCACAGTGCGTACAGCCGTACACCTGCAGGCGCCACTGGGTTTCTTCCTTTTCCTCTCAGACAAGACAGGTTTAAAATAGAGCAAACATTGTGTCAGGAATGAGGATTGACCGACCTCGGGTATTTCCTCAGTTTGATGCTGTGGGTCCAGAGTCGAGTCTTCAGCCTGGTGAAGCAGTGAGTTCACCAACTCGCAGAAACTAGAGGGAAAAAAACAGGAATAGTTGTTGAAACTGGTGTGTTTCTTGTTAGTAAAAACAAAACAGGAAATTCACAATCAGATCTGTGTTTTTGCAAGAGATTTCAATTAGAACGGAAGCTGTGTTCTGTTCATTTCATTCAGTTCCAAAAACATGATGTTATGATTTTAAAAAAAAAGTAAAAGTTAAATCAATGAAACGATGCCAACATACAACAGTGGCTACATTTGTACATGCATCTAGACCTCAGTCAAACACAAAAAGTGTAACAATGAAAAATAAAGGATTCAATTCTAATGCTAGTTTTTGTTTGTTCAAACAATTTTTTATGATTTAATTTTTTAATGTGTAAAATCTTTTTTATGCTTAAAATCGATGCATTTTTACTATATTAAACATTTAGCTTTAACTCCCGTCTCTCTACCAAATCTTTTCATACAGTCCGCTCTGATCTCTAAAATTAATAAAAAGTAAATTTGCGATTTTGCTACAAGGAAAACTAACAAATATTTAATTTCTGTTTGACCTATAAAACAAAACTGCTTTAAAAAAATTCAATATTTTTTTTTGCATTTAATAACTTTGCATCTGTATGACCCATTAAGAGAAAGCATAAAAGCAACAGTGTAGCGTAAAAAAATAGTTAATGCAAATCACTATAAAAACACACGCATTTCCAATAAAGTTTCATACAGTCGTACTTTGACACAAAAATATATTCTTTCAGTTTTACATTAAATTCCTTGGAAACAGTTCCAATAAAAACATTCCTAAAATAATGTCATACTCAAATAAATAAATAAATAAATAAATAAATAAATAAATAAATAAATAGGCCATCCTAAAAATATAATTGTTTTGTAACTGAACTATTTCTGGTGTTAAATTCCACAAAAGGTTGTGTATTTAAAGTGAAACTGAAGACGACGTGTTTTGAGGAGTATTTTTCTGGAAGGCAGAGAGGAAATATGACTCATGCATCTCATGATTTGTTCACATCCAGGTCGCAGTGAGTCTGAAAACTGACCGAAGCTCTGACCTAATGTTTCCATTTTTTTCCTCAGTCTGTTGGTCACCAGACTATTTCCTCACAGCTTCACAAGTCACTCACCTTTTACAATGACTCTCTGTGGGGAAGCAAAGCTGGAAGTCATCAGAGTTGTAGTGGACGTACAGGAAGCAACTCCGCTCATCAATCTTTGACACACTTTAAGGAAAAAAACAACCAAATAACAACAAACGCTATTTACAGGTGCTGGTCATAAAATTAGAATATCATGAAAAAGTAGATTTATTTCAGTAATTCCATTTAAAAAGTGAAACTTGTATATTATATTCATACATTACATACAAACTCATATATTTCAAATGTTTATTTCGTTTAATTTTGATGATTACAAATGACAACAAATGAAAATCTCAAATTCAGCATATCAGAAAATTAGGCTGTGTCCAAAACGGCAGGACGGGTCCTCCGAAGGTCGAATTTGTCGGCCGCATACGTCATAGC